AATGACTGGGTATGCGTAGTTATTACTATTATATAAAAAAATACAGCACCTGACTCCTTAAAGTTATAGCTGACATTTTTTTTTATTTTGTGTGCGGCACGTACGGTTAACGTTGGTTTAGTTAGTACAATAGAAGGTCAGCACACTAAGAGGTCAGACGGTTCTTTGAAAACGACGTAAAGTATTTCGGGGGTGGAAGTCAGTTTTTCCGATTATTTTATTGATAGTTATTCTAAGAATGTAATAGCTAATTATTTTGTAAAACTTAATTTTTTTACTTAGAACCAAGGCAGAATTATTTCATAAGCAAATTTTAAAAAAAGAATAAATAATGTTTCATGTTTCATCACAAAGTATGATCAATTTGTTTACTAATGATAGAACAAAGTTGCCAAAACACTTTGCGCAGTGGTGATTTTGCTCTAAGTCAATTTAAGAGACAGCCGAAACCTATCTGTTCAGCCCATAATAGCATTTAATACATTGAAGAGTATGTGACGATTATTTTTTTTTCAAATGGGTCCTGTATAAATGCAATGAAATATATATATATATATATATGACTGGGTATGCGTATATATATATATATATATATATATATATATATATATATCATAATCATCATCTGCTGTCTGTCAGTCCATTTCTGGAACAATGACGGTTTCATATATTTTTCTTTTGGTTGATAAACTTATTTCTTTTGCTTTCCTAAAATGTTTTAAACGCCCCATTGTTTGTAGAACTATGCTTTGTTTGTAGAACTATGCTTATTCTTTTTTATGTTTTCCTGATAGCTTCCAGTGCTTGTCATCTTTCCACTTACGTAGATAAAGTTTTTCACTACCTCCAGTACATCTGAATTTAGTTTAATTTGGGGTTTTCTCTTTTTTCTGATAGTTTACTGCCATCACCTTTGTTTTTTTGGTGTTAATAGTTAATCCAAATTTCTTACTTGCTTTGTTGACTCTTGTGGTAAGTTTTTATAAATTTTTTTCAGTTTCTGTCAGTAATCCAACTTTAGATTGTTTAGCTATCTGCTCCACATTTACATTTTCCAGAGCGAATTAGAATACTTTTTCCAGCAAGATGATAAATAATGTTAGAAATAGATTACATTCTTGTCTTACTCCCAACTCGATCTTAAACTAGCCTGAAAGTGCTCTACTTTTCAGCACTTATAGTTTTTTGGTATTGCTTTGATGAATATTACTAGTTTCTCTTCTATACCTGCATTTCGCGTTGCCTACCAGAGTCCTTCATGTCATAGTGAGTCAAAAGCTTGTTTAAAATCTATAAAATTGATAAAACAGATTTCATTCTTATCAATATATTTTTCCATTATTTGTTGAAAAGTAAATAATTGATCAATAGTGCTTCAGCCCGGACAAAATCGCCATCAAACTACCTGCTTTTATGGAAAGAGCATAAACAGATTGGTTCACGATAGCTGAGGCGCAATTTTAATTGCAAAACGTAGTTTCTCAAGAAACCAGATACTGTTACGTGCTGATCTCTCTGCCGATGGATATGATAGCAAAATTATTGCTAAAAGCATATAAAGGTAAAAATTATAACACCCTAAAGACAGTCATGGTATCAACATATAAAAGAGCCAAACCTGTGCATCATAAATTCATACAGTCATTATTGACGACAATTTAACCAGTTATTGCAGCTCAAAAAAAATCTTGATCTACAACAACTGGAAGTTATAGCGGATGAATGTATTAGATATATATCGTGTTTATATAACATTTGTAAATAAAAACTGTTGAAAAGCATAATAAAAACAACACCACGAACAGCAGCACAAACACTCCAATGAATATCCGTCCATTTTATAAAGATAAGCAACCTCAAGTTTGCCGAAATCACATATATTTTGGTGAAAAATCTAAAATTTGTGAACCTTATTGCCAAACAAAAAGAACGTAAACATGCAACCATCCTCACAACCTTCATCACTAAACTAAAAAAAAAAAAACCATCACCAGCATGTACCTTAAAAACTAATAAGGCGAGTCGAAGTCGCAACATCTGGCTCGCCACTGCTCGAAAGTGTTAAGAGAATAGGTGGTACAATGTTGAAATTGGTGAAAGACACGGGTGCAACCGTGACGTTTATACTAACAAAATTCTCTACAGTGTTGTGTTTACAACCCGCTGCCGTTAATTTGACAACTACAAGTGGTCAGAACATCCTTTGCAGTGGAGAAACCATCTTGAAAATTTACATTTTATTATAGCACAGAACCTACAAGTGGAATGTGGTTGTCGCAGACATCGTCAATTATTATTTGACAAGGATTTGTTCAACCATTATAAAATCTTTGTTGTAGTAGCAGATAGCCTTTCTCAAGCAGCAAAATTTGTTAAAGTAGACGTCTGCGATCAATTATCAATAGCTGAACAACGAAAAACCGAAAATGAAATAAAAACATTTGAGAATCATCTAAAACAATATTTAATTGATGACAATATAAATTATTTTGTGATGTTTCAACACCATACCCCAGATCATACATTCCTGACAATTTGAAAAAAAAATATTTGCAGTTTCCATAACCTTTTACACCCAAGTATTAAAATAACAATTCGACTAATCAAGTCAAAATATTTTAGGCTAAATATGATTAAACAAACACAAACATGTTCCAGAGAATGCTAAAGCTGTCAACAAAATAAACTTCATCGACACACAAGGTCTTCAATATCATCATTCAATCTACCATCCGCATGTTTTGAGACTGTTCACTTTAATATTGTAGGTCCATTATCTCTTGTTAAACAAAATAAAAGAATCTTATTAAAGTGCTTACAGGTATTTATTTACTTGCATTGAGAGACCAAGAAGTTGAATTGAAGCAGCTCCGATGTCAACCGTTACTACAACATGTTTGGATAGCTCAATCCGGTGATCCCCTTTATGTTGTAACGGACCAGGGCGCACATTTCGAAAGTGAGTTACTTCCTGATTTGTATTGATTGATTGGTTCTAACCGTCTGTGTACAGCAAGTTATAATCTACAAGCCAATAGAAAAATATCGACAACGTCGCACTTTGAAATCATTCATTAGTTTTCGCAAACAAAAATACTGGTTGGACGCACTTCCTGTTGTTCTTTTGGGACTCTGAAACATGCCAGATGAGAATAGGATATTTCCTGAAAAAGCAGTGACTTAGTTATTACACAATCGATTTGGTCGTCAGATTCATCTGAAGACATTTCATCCAACCAAATCAAACAACATGTGTAAACTTAATGATTTTTTATCAACCAACAGTCAACACCGTTCTACCTCCAAAGCCTATGTTCTAAATGATCTTTTGAACACTAGCCATGTGTGATTGAGTACATCGTCTACTAGAAGCACCATACACAGACCTTTTCAAAGTGATTGAACGTAACGACAAATATTTAAAAATTGAATTATTACCTTACTGCCAAAAGAACAGCAAAAACTGTTAGAATAACTTAAATGCACAAGTAAAGCAAAAAACGCGTTTTTATAAGCGTAGCGACGCCTTGCAGCCTTGCGGCTCCAACTATTTAATAGTGGTATCCTAATCCTGGCCCTTCAAAGACAAAGTTTCGCAGCTGCCAAAAAACGTATCAGAAAAATGCAACAAAATAACTACTGTAAACATGGGATCCATCAAAGTTGTGTTCACCTTATCAAGAAAGTTTTCACTTGTAACAACTACACAAACTCTAACAACATCAAAACAATTTGAATAGCGACGCACTCCACTTAACCAATCTAACAAACAGAACGCTTCAGATGTTCCTCTAAAAAACTACTTTTGTCTCATTCACAATTCAACTTCAAGAATTTAAAAACATCTGAAGGAAATTCATGATCACCTAAAAACACATAATATCTACATTGTTCGGCGGCGTGATGGCTTAGCGTGCGTTCAAAGGCACCTGGTATTGTTTCCTTGTTCTTATGACATATTCTTTGTGCTTGATGCAAATGTGGTAATCAGCGTGTCGGAGTCGGATGAAAAATATCAGACTCCGATTCCGTCCCTCAAAAAATCCGACTCCCGACTCCATTTAAAAATTTCCGCCTCCGGACTCCGACTCCAGATTCTGAATTCCAGAAAAATTTTTAAACTTTTGTCTCATAAATTCATCTTATTACCATTACTAAAGAAAAAAAAATTTTTTTAGAAAATAAATAAAATTTTTTAAAAAGTAAATAAAACTTTCCTGACTACTGCCCTTTAAAAAGTCCAACTCTGGCTCCGGCCCCTTAAAAAATTCCGACTTCAGATAAAATCATCGACTCAGACCCGACAATGGTGGTGATGCGTCGTTTAGCAGCACTTATTCATATACACTGTGTCCTGTACGTTAACGTTAGCTCACCTATTTTTTGGAAGAGTGTATAAAGGTTAAAGTTTAAAGGTTTCTCTTTCTCTTTTGCGTTTGCTTCAGAGGTTTCAACGACAAACACACACAGCGTATATGAATACGCGTGCAAACCACGCATCATACACATTGCATATGATAGGCGGGAATCTCTTTGTATTCGAACCCAGTCATAGCAATAGCAAGATCAGGCGCCTTTAACCATTGAGCCATCACGCCGTCGTTTAAGACCTTAAATGTTTATTTTTTTAAAATACAAAAAGCCGCTGACCTTTTTTTAAGCGCAAGTTAAATGTGTGGGGATGCGTTCGAGGGCCAGTATATCTGTTCTAAGTGTACGCAAGAAACTAAACCTAATACTTAGCAATAAAGACCCCAAACCTACAAACAACACAACCTGCTGCAAATATCTCATCAACAACATTACAACCTAAATTGTTCTATATGTTATTATTACAGCTTTTACAACATTATTTATTCATACGAAAAATAAAAAACAGCGCTTCAAAATTGATTACGATTAAAAAACAATCCAGGTAACTTCCTAGTAATTAATGATTCTGATTGCGATCCTGTGCGTCATAATTTCTCGATGGTTATGTTTTTGTAACTGAAGCTACGATGCGCTTGTCTTCGAAGGTCATTTGGACGTTCTTTATTTCAACTATTTTTTGTGTTTCCGCCTCAACCGAAAAATTTGAATTGGCTGAAATCACTAAAAGAGCCGACGATGAGCTCGTGAAAAACAATCAACAAAATCATTACGTAGTAGATTTGGGCAGTGCCAGCGACGACCAGCCCGTGAAGCGCCAACAGCAGCAGGCCGACCACAAGGCTGGACACCAACGAAATGCGAACGAGGAGCGTTTTCGTAGGTCGAAAAGAGGCCTTAACGACATCCAACTGACAAAGGTTAGTAAGTGAAATACACCTGTCCCAACCAAGGTCCATACCTGAATAATATCTATTCTTATTGTAATATTATATTACAATTATTTTGCTATTATTTATTAATAAATAAATAACTAAATTAAACAGCTAAATTTACTAATTTAATCTGATTGTTAATGTATAATATTGTTTTGTGTGTTAGTATGCATTATAATGTATGCAAAAATTAATCTATTGTTAATTTGCTTTCTAATTCTATAGTAAAAAAAAGTAAATAGTTTGTTATAGTCAAATAGTCTCCTGTAATTCAAGGGGATGGAATTTTCAGGAAACCATTTATATTTATAATCATATTCATGAATGGTTGAAAGCGGAAATTTAAAGATGATTGTTTATTAATGTGTGTGTATATATATATATATATATATACAATAGATTTTGAGTTGTTATGCTACAAACTGTATATATTTTTTTATTCTATTCACTTGAACTGTTTATAATGTGGTTTTGGTTGAACTTATGATTGTGTGTTTTGACATGAATGTTTTTTTAATGTTAGTGCTATTTTCATGAATTGTAGAAGTTGAATATGGATAAATGTTTATTAATGTATGTATATATATATATATATATATAGTTTTTTAGTTGTTAAATTATGAACTGAATCTGTTCTTTTAATTTTCTTCATTTTAATTATTTTTATTTGTTTGAACTTTGTTTTATACATATATCCATATTCACATGCTTGTATGTTTAATTGTTTGTTAGTTATATTTGTGTGAGGCATAGAGAGAGTTTGAGTTTTTTTTCCATAATAATAATAATTTAAATAATGTATTTCAAAATATATAAAAATCAATACGATACATTATCAACTTTAATTCATTTCGAGTTGCTGGAGTATTCAAACTTGAATTTAATTTAAAAAATTTTAATTAATACAAACAAATATTAGCATCTTTTGTGATTGGGTGGAATTAGTCAACTTTATCTAACTTATAAAGAATGTAGAGGTCCATAAATTAAACTAAAAAACATTTTATCATGAAGATTATTAATTTTTAAACACTAATTTTTTCATAGTTCAAATTCAAATACAAAAAACGTTAACTATCTGATAAATTTTTAGTTTAATGAACAAATAGTTGAAACTATGGACAATTAAAACAAATGTGAATTTTAAATATCAAAATTCAAATGTTTACATTGATAAAAATGTTTATGTATTTTGAATTAAGTTAAACTTACATAAAAAAAAAATTGTTTTTTTATTTTCGGTCTGTGTAATATTTTATTGAACATTTTGAATTTGTTTTTTAATAATTTTATCACCTTAGCTTATAGTTGATGTTAGAATTTAATGTATTTTGCTCATTTGTATTCTGTTAATTGTCTAAGTTTTTAAATATGTGTAAGATCAGTTATAAAATTAAAGCTTTCCAAACAAATTATTTCCCAACCTAGTTTAACTTGTCTGACAGTCATGGATTGATCGTTGTTCATTGGGCAGGAGAGGACAGTGACGTCATCATTGCCCTGGCACGTGACGCCATCATGCTCAGCTTCATCTTTTCCAGTAATTTGTACATTTCTCGAGATTACGGTAAAACATTTGTCAAGCAGAATTTAACGCTGGGTCCTTCTTGGCCGAATGTGCCAGCAGCTGTGCATTGGTATTACATCAGCCCCGTCTACACGACGCACGTGAGTCTTCAACCTATCTGCACATCAACATATAAGACGTCAACATGTCACAAGTTGTCAGCATATCAGCACATCAATAAATAAGTCATCAACATATCAACACATAAGTCATCAATACATCAACACAAATAAATCATTAACGCATTTAAGTCGTCACCACATCAACATATAATTCATCAATATCTCAGCACATAAGTCATTAGCACATTGACACATCAACACACATCAACAATCAACACATCAACATATCAAGTCATCAATTTACACAACTAATAGTAATAATAATTATTATTATCATTATAGTAATACTAAAAATTGTAACATTAGTATTAATATTATTATCATAATTATTATTATTGGGTTAAAGCTATGAAAGAAATTGTAGAGAACAGCATAAAAAATGGTGCAACAAACAGTTGTGATAATGATTGAATTGAAATAAGGTTGAGAAAGCCTTAACTTATTTCTCGAAAATTTTTCTTAAAGATGAAAGCCCTATCTTTTCTTCACGCACTTATTCACTCCATTTAAACCTACAATTTTAAGTTCTATATTTTACTTTTTCAAAAAATAATTTTCCAAAATACTTTGCAGATGGAACTGAATAGAAAATTTTAGTGCTTTTATTATGAAGCAACACTAGAATTTGATGATGTGGTTTAGAATGAAAGATTAAATATAGAAAATAACTTAATGCGTAACAAATCTCGAACCCACCTCTCCCCTTTAAACGTCATAGCAAAATCTTAAGCCCCAGTGCATTAAGTAACATTCCAACCGCCTTTTTGTTAGCATTAAAATTTATTTTATTTTCTCAAATTTTCATTTATATATATGTTTAGATATATGCCAAGATTTTTCCTTAATTGCAGTTTGTGTTTGCTGATGTCATCCACAAGACCATCTGGACGACGTCAGACCGAGGTCTGACATATTCCAGGTACTCCCTCACTTTCTATCCGCATCTCATCACATTCCATCCAACTAACTGGAACACGTTTGTGGCTTACCAATATTCAGAGACGGGCTTTGCTGTAAGTTTGAGTACTGTTGTAACTTCATTCATGTTTATACATCTATAAATAATTCTGTTGAATTGTATTTTTATGTAAATTGTATTTTCAAAACTCTGTTTTTTAATCATTTGGTTTTATATACAATTGTCAGAATATTTTTGAGAAATAAAACAAAGTTTTTTTTGTTTCTCAAATACATTATTTAGTTTTTCATTAAAGTTAATCGAGAAATAAAACAAAGTTTATATATATATATATATATATATATATATATATTTGTGAAAAACATATATATATATATTTGTGAAATATATTTACAATATTCTATAAATTCTACCGAATGTTTAGTGTTAATATGTTTGTAGTTCGTTTTTTCAATTTTTCTCACTAAAGTTTTTTGGTGAACGTTTAGTTTATTAAAATTCAAAATAAACTTATTTTCCGAATTCATGCTGCAAATAAGGCCATATTTCGATTCCTTATCAATCGTTGATTGTTTCTTTTCTGATCATTCTGTAAATGTTGTTGGTTCAACCTTTTTCGTTCAAAAATGTCAGTTCTCGGTCCAGGAAAATTATCATAGGATTCAAGAGATTCGGTTTTAACATAACATTTAATAATGAGCGTAGATTAAATCCATGTGCTCATATCTAATATGTGATAATAATTTAAATGTCCAAAAAACAATAATAATATGAAATAGTATTAAAAAAACTAATAAAAAAATATATAAATACAATAATAATAACAACAACAACAATAAAAGTAAACTACAGTATCATATCGATAACAAAATAATCGAATACATATAAAAGCAATATGTATCTGTCTATCAATCCAACGTATAGTCTTCATCGCCGGTGCCAATGACCATAAATTCTCCCATCACACTGGCCATCACCAATCCAGCTTCACGACATCGTCCTCTGCAGACAAGCCTCGTAGCTACACCATCCTTGTCGACCCTGAAAACTATTAGAAATAAATGTAGTTAGTTCCAAATTAGTTAATTTAACACCTACCGGCGTTAAGAATCTATGCCAAAATCTTAGAATTATAGACGTTCATTCTCTTACCTAATTATTAACATAATGAAGTCTCAAGTGCAAAAAACAAACAAATACACCCGCCCAATTAACAACAACTTCACAATTGACCGGTGCGTATCATGTCGGAAGCGACACTACCAATTCTCAGCATCTCTAGCCACACAAGTGCTCCTAACATAGAATGTGTATTGTGTATCATATATATCGTTATCATTACCTATATAACTAAACCAGTGAATTAGGTATTTCTGAAGTAAAAAATTATTCCACCATGACCTGGGTCCAGAGGTCGCACGCAGTCAACATAATCAAATTCTTCAGGCTTTGACAGTCTTACCGTTAAATCATTAGATGAACTGTACCATGTCTCATTCAATACGAATACGTCCATACCATTAGACAGCAACTCATAAACCGCATCATATTTAGAACGTATTGACCTTATATTTAGTAAACCCAGGTTTAAGTATGATTTGATGCAGGTTTCGGATATTTTATAATCCTCCACCGGCCTGCCGATCCTCTGACTCGTTATAAAAAAAACGAATTTACTCATTTTACCATCGTTGATCAATTTTTTCAGGTGTATGCACGTTGATCCTTAGTCCTTAGTCAGGTCATCACTAACCTTAACACTCTTCATGTTCGCATCCAACAACTTGATTTCAAAAAGCTTTTTCATAATCAGTGACTTAACTGCCGTATTGATGAATTTAACTATTATTGGACGCGGTGAAGTAGCTGAGTCAAGCCTGCTGCCTTGTCTATTTATTTCCACAATCTCTTCCTTCTTCAGCGCATTATCCGACAACGAAATCAAGAAACCCGTAACATTATCTCTATCCTTGACCACAGTCTCATCCTCAGGAAAATTAAAGAGTACGACGTTGTTTTCGCGCTCCTTAACATCATTGACAACCTCGATTGTTTTGCGAACCGAAGTTATTCCTTTGTTTACTTCATCCATGTTCCTCTTGATCACATCCGTTCAAGAAGTGCTGATCTCTTTTTTAAAGTACCAATCGACCGGTCATTCTTTTCATCGACATTTCTTTATTGATCAAGGTTATCTTTATTAGTCTCTATATTTGCACGGAGTCCGAGAAGATCGTCACTGTTAGGATCGTGAGTTTTTAATCTTGTTTCCAGAGAACTAAATCTAGCGTTGAGTAATTTGGTAAGACCTTTAAATCCATCTGCGTTTTTTATACATTTGTCGCAAAACCATTTCAAATTGTTACGTTTGTTGATTAACTTCAAAACATCACCATTTGTCTGCAAACCTGGGCCGATCGGAACTTCACAACAACAGCAAAAAATGCTATTATTAATTGCTTCTGGCAAAACAAAATTTTTATCAACATTCGTTGAGTTAACTTGTTGTTTATTCTTTCTCGGTATAGCAGATCTTAAATGAAAAAAACAGTTATTGTCTTTGGTATCCTGCAATAAAAAATATGCGGCGGGGAAAAAAAATATCGCAAAGTTTTTAATTCAAATACAACTTAGAAAACAACAAATTAAAATATTACAGCAAAAAACTATTAGCAGATAATTATAAACTGTCAACGAAATAACAAAATTAAACGAAATTTAACGCCAGAACGAGTCCAAATATTAATAAACAATTCGAGAACAAGAAAACCACAATTAACGTAGCAACGAATCAATATATGTCTAAATTTTTAGATTAAAAATGTCAGTATTCCATAACAACTTTAAAACAATTTGTTGTGTTTGCTAAAATGGCTGAACTTAATAATAATTTTATTTTACTGTTCAGGTGTTTATTACAACTAATTTTGGAATTTCATGGAAAATATTACACAGCACTGCTGTTTCATTTTTTTGGTTAGTTTAATTGGCATATTTCTATTCTTAATTTTATTCATATTAATTTTTTGGTTTGTGAACAAAGCCAAGTCATTTATTATTTTTTTAGTTTTGTTTTTAAAACGTATAATGAAAGTCCTGGGCATGACATAATACTGCATCCACTCTGCCTTGCGTGCTTTTGAGCAAAAGGCTAGGCCCACCGCTTATAACTGGTAGTTGTCGTCAGGATGGGTGTCCGGATGTAAAAAATTTTTCTCAAATTTATTCCATGCCATCACAAAAAAATTGATGGCAAAGAAAACAACGTCCTACCTCGGGGAACTGGGTCTCTGGACGCTAAACGAAGATTGATTGAATGAAAGTATTTTACTACATCCAACCAACCAAAAATGAATGTTTTAAAAAACACTAAACTAATAAAATTTCTCAATGTATTTATTTAAGCATTTTACAGCGGTTTAATTAATTAATTACCAGGGGTTTGCCGGAATATGGTGACCATTCAACCGAGGTCTACGTGCAAACATACCGACCATCGGCGGTACTCAAGATCAATTACGACTATTCCAATAGGTGATGCGTTTTTTTTGTTGTTCTGACTGATTTCATTGGAGATATGTACAAAACATCAGAAAGAGAAATTGAGAATTTAATTCTGATTAAATAATGCTAATGTTTTCAAACTGAAAAGCTCACGAGAGAAATGATTTAAATCATTTGTTTCAATTTTTTGACTTCTTTTCAATTAAATTAAATTTTCATGTAAAGCAATTGTTATTTTTGTTGTATGTATATAATGTAGCCTATTTTAAAACTATTTCTTTTGGAGCAGTCATTATATAAGCGATTTTTAAATTTTAGACCGTCCAACTTCACGACACCACCATCCTCACAAGAAGTTCAGTTGTTGACTGATGTTAGAGATTTTCAGGTCGTCAAGGAGTTTCTTGTCGGAACTGTCAACAAGGTTGTTTAATAATCACAAGTTGTTGTGAATTTTTTGTTTTTATATATCATGTCACGTTTTTGCTGCTCCCAACACGATATAGGTTGATGGACAGAGCAGCAGCAGAACTAGCTTGTATGTATCGAAAGATAGGAAGAGATTCAGCGAAGCTCACTTTCCAATCAATGGACCAATCAACGTTGTTTTAAAATTTTAATTTATTTGAATTGAATTATTTTGGCGGGAGGTGCAGTGATAAAGTGTCCGGACACTTTTTTTGCAGTGATCGAGTTTGAATGCGAAAAATTTTGACCTATCATACATATGTGGGGTGTGTTTTTTAAATTAAACGTTACTATAATTTTCAATTGAATTTAAAACTTCAATTTTTAAATGAAGGACATATACGTGGCTGACGCAACAGAGCACCAGCTCTTTGTCGTAGTTGTCTTGAGTTCAACGAACAGCACGAATTTGTTTATATCAGACAGTTCCGGCTTGTACTATACGCTCTCGCTCAATAACATATTTTTCTACAGCCCGCATGGAATGTACAACAACACCTGGCTGAGGTAGGTCCCTACGAATGAATGCCAAAAACTTATTAACGCTGCTGAACGACTTTGTATGTTGATACAAGAAATTGAGAAATTTTTAATTAACGAAGTTTTTTCAGCATTTTATGCAGCATGGATTCTGGAAATTTATAATTTGTGCCTAAACGTTTATTTTCTTATGATAATTTTATGAATTTCATTGTTTATATTTTCGTTCTCGAAAAGTTTATGTTAATATTGAATGATTAAAATAAATGATCAATTCGGAATGAAATGAACCACAGTTTTCAAATGAATTTTTGTTACCCGCGAATGCACCACCATCAGATTCTATGCAACTAAGCCTCTTGCGGAGTTGTACAGAGTTGATGGGTTGAACGGCGTGTACATAGCAACAACAATCATCAACACCTCCCTGCCATTGAGACCGTATGCAGACAACAACCAACAAACATTCATTACATTTAACAAGGGTGTGGATTGGAAGTCCATCAGAGCACCTTATGAACGGCCTGTCTGCACAAATGTTCGTTTAAATGGCTATGATTCGATTTCTCGCGTGTAGTCATCATTGTTTTGTGATTTTCTTCTTTTAACGTAGCTTTAATATTCAATTGCGAGAACGTGATGATTGATTTTTATGGTGTGCTTCAAATTTTTGAATGCTTCTTCAAAGCTGTGTTGAAACATACACAAATTGTTCAACTATGTTGACAGATATTAAATATCGCTCCTGCCATTGTCGTTATTGCAAACTGTTTATTTAATTTTTTTGCTTTGGTTTTTTATTGACTTGCTTTGGATTTTGTCTGTTTGTTTGTCTGACTATTCCCTGACTATTAATTTGAAACATTATTGTGGATTTTAGGGATCTTTGTTTTCAAAGTAATTTTTCTTTGATGTATTCAATTTAAAAATATTTTTATTCTTTCAAATTCAATAAAAAACATTTATTGTTTTTTAATTTGTTTTATTTTATTAATGATTTAAAGTCGTCATTTTTATGTTTAAAGCAAGGCCATCAGTTTTCTTAGTCTCAAGTTCAGCAGCGTAATTTGTTGTAAGATTTTGTTTTGAGTGTGTTGTTTTGGTTATCGCAAACAGTCCACAGGATGTAACATTACAGTTCACCTCGCACAAATGTACAACTCTCTTATGCCATTGGCTCGCACACAACCAATCCTGTCAAGCAAATCAGCTCCTGGCATTCTCATTGGTTCAGGCAACGTGGGTGCTTCTCTCACCGGTAATTATGACGTGTTCCTGTCCAATGATGGCGGCCTTGTGTGGAGAAGGGTGAGTTAAATATCTTCTTTTATAAATTATGTAGTAACATTTTAACTTGAAAGTAACACGTGTTCTCAAAAAATTAAATTAATCTTGAACATGGTTCTGGTTAAACTGGATTTATTTCCTTAAATTTATTTGGTCTTGTAACGTGTGATCAAATAAGTTTGCATGAATGCATTCATAAAATTTTTGCAGTAGAACCCAAATAATATTAACGAGCAGATGTCAACCAAAAACAAACAAACTATCTAATCGGCGAAAGACGCTTAAATTTTAATTTTTGAATATTAACATAATTTATTCAGGTTCTGAATGGGACCTTTTACTTTACAATGGGTGACCACGGTGGCATCATTGTGGCTGTCAAAATGCAAGAGCCTACGAATTATATTGTGTTGGTTCCAAAAACTTGCTTTATTGCCTTTGTTTGATGTCTTAAGTAATTTCTGACACAACTATTTTGATTACTAAACACAGATTATTCGTACAATCTAGTCTACTTATTTATCTGACAATAATTAATTTTTTGTTACATTTGTTTTAGAGATTTGCTCTTTGATCAAGCTTATTATTTTAGAATGATTTAAAAAAAACTAATTTTTGTTTGAAATTTTATGAAATGTTTTTGTGTGTATGTGCGTGAAGTAACGTGTTGTGTTTGTATTGATTGACAATAACTTCATCGTTATAAAATATGTAATAACTTGTTGATTTCCTATATAATAAAATTTGTTTCAAAGATATTCGCTCAATGAAGGAGCTTCGTGGTCTTTTTTTGAGTTCTCTTCTACGAGAATAAACGTGTACGCGTTGACCACCGAACCAGGTTTATAAATTGAAATTTATTTGTTATGCCTGTAAAAAATAATATTAGCGATGTCTGTTATGAGTTTAATGGTTGTGGTAACTTCAATGCTTGTGGTTGGGTTGGTGGTGGTGGTGTTTGAGTTGATGGTTGGGTAGATTTGATTTTTAATTCTTAAACAGGTGAGGAAACCGGTGTGTTCACAATTTTTGGATCTAACAGCCAGCACTTGAGTTGGGTGATTATTCAGGTGAACCTCTCATCGGCGTTCAGTTAGTTTGAAAATGCGTTATAAATTGAAATTTTGTTTGTCAAAATCCTTCCAAAAGTATTTTGTGCTTTTTAATTATAAATCAATTTATGTGTTTTGTAATAATTGAATGGCATTTTGCGGTGTAATAAAATACACTTTTTGGTGTTCTCATTCCAGACAGAACGTGTGTTGACAGCGACTACTACAGCTGGAATCCCACGGATGATCCCAACATCGACTGCCTGCTCGGGAAGAAGATGATTTATCAAAGACGAAAGTCGCTCTCCCTGTGCTACAATGGAAGGAACTATGATCGAGCTATCAACGTTCAGAATTGTCCCTGTAAAATCAGCGATTATGAATGGTTAGTGAAGAGTATTTACGATGAAGGATGTGCATTTTGTATACTTACATCTTACTATGTGCACGCACTAATTTATTTTAAATTGTTTATGAAGTGAAAAATTTCAGTGATTGATTATATTTATGGAAATATATTGTTTACAAAATATTGATGAACCACCACTGAGATTGACTCCGGATCTTTACGCCTGACAAAAAATTGGCTAATGATTGCTGACGTGTCATCGAAATTGATGTAAGTTACACCAACTGGTTTTCAACCTAAATTCATGAAAGTACGACACGTGGTTCACTATGTTGACACATCTTGACGCTGCTAATGTTTGAGTCAATCGCTTTCTCGTAGTTTATCTTTAAATGGAGGTGCAGGCAAACGACTGTGCTTATGTCGCGCAACTGAGGTTTTATAGCAGAGGTGTTATACAAGTTACCAAATACAATACAATTTTGTTATCGATAACATTAGATAACAACGAAAGGAAACATGTTGTGTGAACGCTTAACTTTGCAGTGATTATGGTTATACAAGAAACAAAACAACGCAGTTATGCGAGCTGAGAAGTTTTGAATGGAGCAGCTTTGTTTGTGCGTTTGGGTATGACCTGTCATACAATCGTTCCAAAGGGTTTGTTGTTGATTTTCTAGCTGTCTATTATTGTTTTTTATTTTTATTTTTTTGACTCATTGTATTGATGCAACTGTATATTATTTACGTTTCATCAGTTTTTTCTCCCGTGAGCTTACTTTAATAAAATATATCAGCATGGTTTTAAAATGCGCTTAATAATATGCTTCTTTTTTGGTTTACACTCACATTTTGTGCACTTCTGACATGTGTGTACACTTTGGACATGTGCATGCTGTACACTTACTATGTGCAATTTCTACATGCGTCTATTACAGCAAAAAAGTATCTGCAATATCAATTTGTTTAGATATAAAAGAATACCATCAGATACGTGTGAAGGTGGTATGCAAAATGTCTTCGATCCAGTTCTCACTAATTGTCCAGTCACCTGTACGTATGATGATGAACATGATGATGTTTTTGATAAAAAAATGATGATGACATTTGTAACGACACAATGTTGATGCTTCTGAAATTGTCTAACTAATCTAGAGTCTAACTAAATTATGATGTTGGTATGAATGAAGGTAAATATAAAATTATATCAAGCGTTTTTATGTTGATCAGGATAATAAAAATAAAATTGAATAATTTCACCCGAACGCAGCGAACGGTGAATTCATTATGTTTTCCAACATGTCTGCCGTATTTCGGTACTCGTATGCCAGGCGGTCCGTGGTGAAGATTCATTTGAGCAGTGTACAACAGAACATACTGTCTATCGCGTACGATTATCAAAATGATTGTCTGTTCTTTGCCGATACTCATTATGACAACATTCAGGTTGGTTGGGGTGAGGATGTCGTGTGGATGGCGATGATAATGTGAAGATGATTTTTATAGCAGATAATGAAGAAGTTTTAATGATGATGTGATGATGGTGTTCTAATATGGTGATGATGGTAAGAATTTAAGATAATTACTTCTTATAATAGATGTTGATGATTGAGATGTTATGAAGACATAATGATTTTGAAAATTGTTTTTAAATAAATTTAGCTTCAAAATTTTTAATGATTGCTAATAATTTTTACTAAAATATATATAAGATTATGTTAAATTATTAGATTTCAGAAAAAAGTGAAATGTCTCACAGTACAGATTTTTTCAAAGTGCATATAACATAATGAATTTAAAAAAGGAACTAAAAATGGGTAAAGCATTAAGATGGTTAGATACAACACAGCATGTGAAAAAATTGGGAGATAACGAAATGGCATCAGAGTTAAGTTGAAAGTTATAATTTCGAATGACATGGAATACTCTTAATAATCTAAAAAGAGAACTTGAAGTAGTTGTAAAACCAAAAGAAATATCACTAAATTGTAGATAACTGATATAGAAAACTGTGAAAAAGAAAAGAATGTGTTGAAAAAATAGAGTGAAACAGTATTGTCTAACAAAAAAAGTTTTAGCGTTAATAAACGAAAGATAATATATAAAACAGAGTCTTATTAACTAGTAATTGCTGACAAATTTATTATAGATTATTATTAAAACAAAGATGGAAACGCTTTCACATAAACAGTTTAAAGATGGATGAAACTAAACAAACTATAAAGCAGCTTACAAATAAAATAAAACGCTTGAAAATCTGTTTAACATGGAAATATTTATGAGCCAATTACTGAAAAAAACGGCGGAAAAAATAAAAATCAAAAAGAAATGTTATTAATAAGAGAAGGAGGACTAGTTGTACTTTATAAATCTGTAGAATCGATCCAAGAATTTGTCAGTCCTGATTGTGTCAACCTAGAAAAGCAACACAAAAGATTGCAATAACCATCAATCGACAGCACTAATCCTTCAGATATGCAAGATCATGTTGATCTTCTTGTTTGGTCAGTATATGGAACAACACTTGACGAAGAGAAAATAATTTAAGAAAGTACATTTTAAAAGTTCTGATGTTAAGACTTTATAGGGTGGTTGTTAGCGATATACCATTTTGATAAAGAATTTATAAAATCGTTTGACTTCTAACACGAACAATTTTAGGCAACTCATAAAAGTATGGGAATATTGAGGATTGAAAGTGACAATTAGAAGTTAGAACCGTTGAAATAATTCAATATTATTCAGAATTTGATCAATGCGAAAGTTGGGGCAAATAAATGATCAAATATGACCACAATATCGGTTTTTTTACATTGTAATAGGCATGCGAAGCTGGGAAAATAATGAAAAGAGACAAAAACAGATTAGAAGCGTTTAAAAATAGTTGAAAATTAGAGACACAGAGCCAGTTACAAAGTCATTGGAAATTAGCTTAGAAATAAAAACATTGCCTATAAAGGTATTGGATGAATGTCGGGTTACTGATTGATTAAAATTGTACAAACAAGGAAATAGTAACTGGAAGAGGAAAATAAAAAATTTGCTGAGTTGGCGGCGTTTTTTAGGTGGAAAGGTAAAACTTAAAAAAATTCCAAATACTGAACGGCATTTTTAAAATCAGCAAAAATAGTGAACATCATCTCTTAACGTTTCTTGAAGTATTAAAAAGAATCATTGATTGATTCATAATAATTTTTATAACAAATGCAAACATTTAAGCACAAGCAAACAAACAAAACATGCAGATGATATGCTTGAGAGGAGAAAAGTCACGATTGGACCAGCGTGTTTTAATGACTCAGCAGATGGATCGCATCGAATCCATGTCTTATAATTGGGTCACTAAAATGCTGTTCTGGCTGGATGCTGGAAACAAAAGGATTGAGTGCATGAAAGTGAGTAATCAGAAGAGAAGGGTTGTGATCAGTCGTTTGCTGCAACCAAAATCTCTGGTTTTACATCCTAAGAAGGGGTTAGTGCTATTATGATTTAGTTATATTAGCCGATGTTTTTTCTTAAATAACGTTTGTAGCTATTATTCATTTTAGGCAGTGTTTGAGTATTCAACGTAAAAATAAGAAATTTTTAAATAATTAAATATCATTTATTATTTATTTTCTTCAAAATATTCTTTTAATTCATCATCTATTTCATGATTATTGTTATTTGTAATTTTGTCTTTGCCAATGTTCCTTCTCTATATCATGACGACTCAATTCCACGAATCAATCACAGCGTCCTCGTCATTATAAGATTACCTCATTACCATAATGTTACGGGTTTCCGTCATCATAATGATATAGTTGCATGTTTTGTTTGGAGCTGTATGTTGTAATCAAGAGTTGAGTGTATTAAAGTGAGTAATCAAAAAAGAAGGGTTGTGCTCAGCAATCAATACTAGTCAATACCGCTTTTAAGTAGTATGAGAAGAGGTAGTATGTAAATTCTTCATGATTATGATGAAAATATTCCTGTTGTTACAGTAACATGTTCAATCATTTAATTTTCGTAATTTCAGTTACATGTTCTGGTCTGATTGGACCGCAGTATCTCCAGGCATCTTTCGGTCAAGCATAGCGGGGTCGGACATGAAAATGATTGTTGACAAGTCAAAGGCAAACATCAAATGGCCTTCTGGATTGACCATCGATTACTCATCCAGCAGGTTTGTTTTAGTATTTTTTTTAATCTCCATTCGCTACCTACGTAAAAATAGTTTTTAAATGCAATAATTAATTCTTGCTATTGCAAAACTTTATATGTTTGTAATAAAACGTAAAACTGAAAAAAATCTACGATACTACATGACAAACATGCGTGTAGGTTGTATTTTGTTGATGGATCCACAAATTCAATTTTGTACTGCGACTTCGATGGCGTCCTCTGTTTGACACTCCTTCAAAGTTCAACTTGGCTTTCTCATCCATTTTCTGCCCACATTTATAAGGTGTTTGAAAATTTGTAACATGCAATGAATGATAACTAATAACTGCTGTTAGATTTCATTGTTATTAAAAGGTTTGTACCATAAGATTAATGTATTAATATATCATGTTTTTATAACGGAATGTTATTAAAAAACATGCTAGAACACAATTGTGTGGGCAGACCTGCAGAGCAACTACATATATTCGATGAACAAAAATGATGGAACATCACCGGTGCGTTTGTTGCAAGGCTATTCGAACGTTGTCAATTTATTGGCGCTTAATACGCAGTCACAGACAGGTAAAATAATGTTTTTAATTTTTTTTGCGTATCAAGTATCAAGTTTTATATAACATTACAATGTGATGTAAATGTTGCGTTATCGCCGTGTCATCGGACTTATGGAAATTTTTTTTAAATATTTTTTGGTGCTTCACTGAAAATGATGAACTCCAAAGTGTGATTAGAATGTTAAGGGGAAGTGAATTAACACTGAGTTCTAAAGAAACGTGTCTCGCGGCACATTTAGTTGCGATTTCTAATTTAAATTTCAGGACCCGATTAATGGCTATTACTTTTTATTTTCCAGCGGCGTTATTTTATGTTATTCAACTAACATAAAATATAAACATGGGCGGACATTTCTTTTCTTTTAGACAAATCAAAACATTGTGACTTTAGGGTATTTTGTTAAACAATGCTCGATCAAATTCAAATAAACCGCACCACAAACATAGTAGAAACAAACAAACAATCAAGCGAGAAAACAGACAGACAGACAACCAACAAAAAACAACGACTTTTCAGACACTTCCAGTTGCTCATCTCAATCAGCTTGTCGTGATGCAAATGCACTCTGCTTCGAGACTTCAAACACGACATACGAATGCAGATGCAGCATTGAATTCATCGAATCATCTCCGCCACTGAACACCGTTTGTGGTTGTCCTTCTGGCACACAACTGATCAACCAATCCTGTGTGGCAACTGGTTTGTTGATATTTATCATAGTTCTCATCCACATAACGTTGCCATCGTCATCATTATCATCATCATTGTCAATATCATGATCTTTTGATTTTTGCGATTTAATTTTAAGTCATGCTGAGAGGTACTGGGATCGATACCCCGGTTCTCCTTCTTGCTATATTAATGAATTATCGGTTTTCTACCGCGTTATATCGTTAAACTCTATTGTGTTATATTCGACTGATAGATTAGAAAATAATAAAAATATACGTAACCGTTGGTTTTTTTCATCTTTATTGTATATTTCAAATCAATAAGAGAACGAGCAACAAGAAAATTCAAGTTTTTTGTTATGTAAATACTACCAATACTAAATATAATTTTGTCCCTCTTCTTTCTCTTTCTTTTTCTTCTTTTGCCTAGTTTGTTCCAAGCTCTTTTATGCTAACTAGTCATAAGTTTTATTATCTATAAACTTATAATAAATAAAATATATGACATACTATGTATTGTATGTGTGATATGTGTCATATAATAATATTTACGAATTGATATATCTATAACACGATTAACAATTAACAAGATTTTTTTGCAATTGACAAGAATCATGAATTTGAATTTGCAGCAAATCACGATTGCCCGAATGAATTCACTTGCCCACTGACCAGGAGATGCATTCCATTGTCGTACGTCTGTGATCACGACAACGACTGTGGCGATATGAGTGACGAAATGAATTGCTGTCAGTGCCTTGCTGTCATTTTATTTTCTTCATTTTTGTGTTGTTGATTTGGTTTGGTTGCCGTTCTGACTATTTTTATTCTTCAGCGATATTCATCTAATATTTTTTTCCGTACAAAAGCAAAAATTATTTTTAGTTGATATTATTGTCAGCGATGATGATGTTCATTGATCTCATGGCTTGTTCGCTTGCAGCCTTTTCATGCACTTCGAGCCAGTTTCAATGTTCAAATGGGAGGTGCATATCGAGCAGGTGGCTGTGCGATGGCGATGATGACTGCCAGGACATGTCCGATGAACTGCCCACCAACTGCCGTAAGTTATTCCAGCTTTAAATTTTACTATTGCTTCATTTGATGGTTAATGTTGGTGGTGCTCCTTTGCTCCTCCGAACTCTTTAGGGAATGAATAAAATTTGTAATCAAATAAGAACCAAATTAGTTTTTTACATTTATTAATTTATAAATTTATTTTTATATGCCTATTCATATTAGTTTTTGTTCTATCATGATCTACATTTGTAATGATTCGCTACAATTAGATTTGAAAGATACGAACTGTACATCGACGCAGTTCAGATGTGATTCAGGCAGATGCATTAGTTCATCATTCAAATGTGACTTCGATGATGATTGCCATGATGGTAGCGATGAAAGGGACTGCACCTATTGTTAGCAGTTGGTTTTTATAAAATAAATGTTTATTTTCGTGTTATATTTTCAATTTACAAAATGTTTTGAATCTTTCGGATAGCTCCAAATCGTTTGATTGTATTTTCATTTTTTTTAAAGCTAGGTGCAATAACTTTTTTAATTATTATGTCTATTTTCTGAAAATTTCAAATAAAAATTGTCATTAAGCACAATCTTAAGCGTGACCGGAAGGTTTCATTCAATTGATCTAAATTTTCTAAAGTTATGTGACATGGCTTTCAGCTATCGATATTTGATTATTTTTATTAAAATGTAGCAGAGATAAAATTGTTTAAATGAGTTTAACAAATAACAGCTCTTTTTATTTACTTTCATTTTGACTTTTTTGCAGTTGTCATTAAAGTTAAATTTGTTTTCATGATCAAACATCATCATCATCAAGTCTTTTATCTTTATCAACTTTAACATTTGAAGTAGCAACCACTCCATCCACTTTGAAATGCCAATCTACCGAATTTCAATGCCAAACAATCTTTCGGTGCATTCCAAGCCGTTGGAGATGTGATGGGGACAGCGATTGTAGTGACGGTAGTGACGAGGAGAACTGCCAATTTGTCAACTGCTCAGCACCGATGTTTCGTTGTGATAGTGCAAGCAAATGCCTGAGGCCCTGGAAAAAATGTGATGGAATGCTAGATTGCAACGATGGTACTGATGAGCTAGGTTGCACAGGTTAGCCAATCCAATACTTCTAGATGTTTATATTAGAGACGCACTAATTCGGCCAAAATTCGACATTCGGCTTCAGCCATATTTGAAGATCGATTAGTCGAATATTGCAATTTTGGTTTAAACCATCACTTTTTTGGAATTCCAGAACAATAATTGTTTATTATTATTAACTGAAAATTTATTTTGGCTGTCATAGCTGTTGAAACAACTGAATTTGAACACGTGATTTACTATAATCTTAATTAAAAATGTTGTGCTAACAAAAATCGCTTACTCTTTTTTTCAATAATTTGTTTTTCATTCTAAAAAAATACAAAAAAATTAAACTGTGGGTTGTATGGTATTTTGCCTTTGGCCGAAAAGCGGATCACCTATTCGTCCTTTGGCCAATTTTACCATTCAGTGCATCTCTAGGTTATATTTTTTTACAAAGACGTTTAAAAAATTATATTATTTCAAGACATTGTAGTTGAAAATTAAAATGTAGGTAAACTTGTTCATATTTAACAGCCGTAACAACTGTGAGACCATTCACGCCAAGCAGCACTCCTTTCTCCTGTAATCTTGGATTCGAATGCAAAAATATCCGTCAATGCATCTTTTGGTCACAAGTTTGTAATGGAGTCAATGACTGCTTGGATCGAACTGATGAAATCAATTGTAAGATTTATTCATTCTTTTCATTCAGGCTCAATAAGTACAGTGTTAATATTATTGTTACTACTACTAATGCTACTAACTGTAATATTATTAATAATGGAAATGCTGTTATTAAATTAGAATTTGTTGTAGTTAATGTATTAGATTTTTTTTTGAGCAAAAACAAAACTTATGAAATTATTACTGTTGACCTTACACACTGCGAAATTTGGTGCTTTCTAGCGTCTTTCAGAAAGTGGGTCGATTGTTGTGTGTTCGGCCACACCGAAAATTTTTTGATAATAATTATTCAAAATTGGTCATGGTGGTGTTGATGAAGTTATTCATGTCCATATATATATATCTATATAATGATATTTTGTTATTAAAAAAAATTTTTTGGAGGACTAGTTGCATTTTAATTGTCTAACATATAATGAATCGCTAGTGTCACTTGTTTTTTAAATTAGTTTTGTGAAGATATTTTTTTAGCGTAAGGAAGTTGACAATGATTTTATGTATTTGACCAGGATTTGGCGTAAAATGGGACATTAAAAAATGATTATTGAAAATCATTCAATAGGAAGAATGACGCTTTGTTTGGCAAAATCTGTTTATAGTGTTTGTTTGGATTATTTTTGGATTATTTTTTTTTAAAATGTTGTGAACGACGCAGGTGAGAACTGTCAGCCGCCATCAAGGTTCAGATGCAGGAACGGGGGTTGCGTTTCTTCCAGTCTTAAGTGCAATTTCATCGATGACTGTGGTGACAATTCAGATGAACAGGATTGTGGTCAGTTGCGCTTACTATTTTTTCCATTTTCTTTTGTATGTTTATTTATGATATAATTTTACATTTTCTCAAATCACAGTTGCATGTTGAAATGAATGCACAGCTTTTCCTTATTCTTTAACTTCTTAACTTTTCAATAAAATTACTTGTAATTTTTTCTAAGCGTTAGTTAATCATGCTAAACTATCATTACAAATGGAACTGTGCGTTTACGACGCGAGAGGGTTGTAATTAAGTTTTTCTGCTATGAAATGCGATTTATCTCAGTTTATTTCTTGCACGAATTTGAAAGATGTGGCAACAAAGCCTCCGACATGCCCACCGATGTCGATCAGATGTGAAGGCTCAGTGCTGCAGTGTGTGACAGAATCTTCTATATGTGATGGAGTGATGGATTGCTTGCATGGCGACGATGAAGACGGCTGCACGAGTTAGTTATTTTTTCAGATGATATCAAAATTTCTAATAGTTACAAATTTATACTTTAGTGTTGTGTTTCCCAACTCGAACATTTTTGTATCACGAATAGGAATTCTCAATAATTGAAACTGAAAACAAAATATTTTAAACGAAAAATTGTACTCAGAATGTATTGAACTTGATTATATTTCAGTTTGAACAACAAAAATAATAAGATGAACAGTATGTTCATGTAAATAACACTTTCATATGTGACACTGTTATGCTGTTTTGCCTACAACTCCGATTTCTTGCAAATAACATTTTGCCTGCTATAAAAATTCCAAATTAAAATTAAATTCCACCACAGTATATTACCGTTTATTTTGTGTTTAAATTAAGATTCAAAAGCTGTGGTAGCTCAAGAATTTTGCTGTTGGCAGATAATTTTAGAAGTCTAAAGCTAATAACTTTTTGGTAATGCCCGTAATTTCCGTTTATTCACGTTTCGGTGGGGGAAGGATTTATGATTTTCAAATTTCTCAAGTAAAAATGACCTTTTTTGGCTAATTTTGGTCAATATTACTATATTGTACACATAACTTTGAATATTTTACTCTTTTATGGTTTCGTGGGGGTGCATTCCCGCATTTCCTCCTAGATCTGCCTTTCTACATAGGCTACGTAATTTGTAGGAGAGCATGGAAATTGTTTACAGGGCTTAGGAGCTTCGTAACACCGCTTTAATAATTTGAAGTTTTTTGCACGTTTACCATGAACAAACATGAAACTTATGTTTTGTTTCGCATCTCACCTTTCATACGTCAATAATTGTTGCTACCAAACAAAGATGCCTCCACGAATTGTTTGAATGGCTACTTTTCCTGCTTATTCATACGAATGTGCATCAACGCATCGAAGGTATGTGACGGCAAGGAAGACTGCCTAGATGCATCAGATGAACTCAACTGCAAGGGTTTGTTTAATCTACTATCATTGAAAAAAGTTTACCTTAACATTATTGATTATTGACAATGTGTGTGAAACAGAATTTGTTTGATGCTAGCATACATTGAGAGGAAAGAAAATAACTTTTTTGGAAAAGGCTTTAAAGCATATTAATTGTTATAAGGCTTTGGAAAAATATGTTTTTTAAGGAAAAGTTAGCAACCAATTCTAAGTTTTTTTTGTTTTTTTGAATTTTTTTATATTTTTTGTGTCTTATGAATTTCTAACATGTTAGCTCATCATTTATTATTGAACTATTAATTAATATCATATAATTAATTTAAATATAATATAAATAAAGTGAAGCTTCATCAAATCAGATGCCAAAGTACCAGAGAAAATCAACTGCACGTCGAGTTACTTCAGCTGCGAGCACGGTGGATGTGTGAGGCTGTCGAATGTTTGCGACGAGAAGTGGGACTGCGTGGATGGCTCGGACGAGGACAACTGCTTGCACAACTGGAGAGGTAACATGTGCTTCTTCCACTGCCGTCATGACGTTGTGGTTATGTTAATGATTGCATTGATCAATGTGAATAAATTATTACTAATGTCACTAATTTCTGTATTTAATCGCTTTTATATTTTTTCGTATATTGTTATTTTGGAATGGCAATTCAAAATTTAATTATGTGTTTGTTTATTGCCGACTGATGAATTGCGAGAAAGGGTTTCTGAATATTTTTAGCACGTTTTGAAGCATGATGAATAATTTTTTTTAAACTTTCTATATTTTTTTAATGTCTTCACCTGTTCTTTTTCAATCCAATCTCTTCAGATTACACACCAACTTGGCAGATCACGAACTCAACATTCTGCAGTGTAACATTTGAAGTGAGCAAGATCAGTAATGTGACAGTATCCCCTTCGTCACCCGTCCTCATTACTGCAACTGTTGGGTCGGCGTCTCCTGTCGTTCTCTCTATTAATTTTTTTGTTTTTTTTTTGTTTAAATTTGGTCTAGTTGTTGGTTTGATTGTTGTCGAAATTTTAGGTGAGAAATAAACCGTCATTAAAAGTAGAAATTGTTTTTTATTTGATCGTTTATTGTTAGTGAAATAATTACAAACGATGTAATCATGTTCCACTGTTGCTAAAAGTCATAGATTAGGCTTGCACATTCCACCACCATCATCATCATCATCCCCATTCTCATCATCATTTTCATCATCATCATCTCCATTGTACAGTACAACAGATTGGTCTGACTATCAAGCGAACATCACCTCGGTGAAGTCTCTGCCAGCATCACTGGTCTTCAACAAACTCCGTCCACAAACCAGGTACATCCTCACCTTGAACATCCTTCTCAACCGCATGAAGTCCCATCCTTCCGTCATTGAGTTCATCACGCCAGATGAATGTGAGGGATAATAATTAAATTGAATTAATTAATTGTAGCTTTTGAAAAGGTATTAATTGTTATAAAATACAACAATGATACTTTGCATGGTTTGAAATTATATGGATTAAATATCTTGTTAACCAATAAATATATACCCACCAGCTGCCTTCTCAGCTCCAACCAACTTGACTTACAAAATTTTGAGCACAGTTTTTGATGACATGTTGTTAAGGTTATCGTGGAACCAGCCGATGAAAGACGAAATTCCTTATGTTATTCAATACAGGGTTTGTTCTTTTTTTAAGTATTTACTTAACTCGGTCTTTTTTTATCATCTGTATTTTTTATTTTTGCTGTCAACTGCTTTGCGGCTATTTTGGCTGCATTATTTTTTCTGACAAATGTTTTTGTAATGTTTATTTTGAACTTATGATAATTTTTACAGTTTATGGAATCTCGAACCTTGTCGTTATCGTCGTCTTCATTTCAATCATTTTCATTGCCACCTGATTTTCATTACAATCGTAACACTGGCCTCATTTCAACACAGGTTGACTACGTGGATATAACAACGAATCAACTCATAAACTCTCAAACCAGAAGCAGCCAGTTCACCACGAACACCTGGTTCGAATTCACGACTGACCACCTCATCTACGGACATAAATATAAATTTCAGGTGTTTTTCCTCTTTCTAATAGGCCTCTTGTTGCTATCTTTCTTATTAACTCTTTCATGGATGGAAATCTTTTGTGTTTGAATTATCTCTTGTATACGATAAACCAAAATTATTAATTTTAACAGTTCTCGACTTTCAAGACATCTTTATGTCAGAGTTCTAAGCTCTCCAATTGTTATTTGAAATTTAATAATAATTGCAGTAAATTGTGACCAAAATCCATCTTTATAATTTAGATTTATGATTTTTGTTTGCTTAAAATCTGAGTTATTATGAACCTGGTTTTAAAAGGTTCTTTTAATGCTTGAAAACAACTTTTCAAAACTGTTTCTGTTATTAAATTGTGCTTCTTTTATTTTTTATGAAAGAATATTACACAAAAAATTTTTAATTTCTGTTATTTTATAATATAAAAATATATCTTTGACAAATTTTTAACGCTTCGATTGCTCAATGGTATTAATATAATTAAAAACAACAATACCATTTGTGTTGGGTTTGACTACATTTGCGCCTTGTGGTTATTGTTCACATGCCCGCGACCTAACAACTCACCTACCCAGGTTTATTCTCGCCACACACAGTGGAGTGTGGGGTCGAGAGCAATTGAGATTCAGTTCGGAACCAAGTGTTTTCATCTTCAAGAAACTTCATCATCATCACCAGCAACAACTTCATCGACGTTCAGTTTTGACTTGCAACATTCATTACCAATGTACGCCCAATCGTATTTGTTCTGGTGGAGTTACGACGACAATGTCAAGGCTTACATACATAAGGTGAAAATCACTAGAGAGAGCGACGATGACAATAGCGGTGTTGATGATCTCTGGAGACATGGCGACAGTGGGGATGTTGCATTGAAATCTTTCTACGAAAGAGATGTATCACATAACGTAGGAGTACGATGGGATCGTTCGTTGCTTTGTGAGTTGATTCAAATGGCCTTCAAATGTTTTTAGTTGTAACTGTTTGATGATACGTGATGTTGTTATTGATGTTCAGAGGTGTTACTGTTGAGAGTTGATTTGTGGCCGTTGTCGGAGTAGTTGGAGACTGTAAACAATTATATTTAGTAGTAATAACAGTGTGGTATGTGGGATATCGAAATATATAAACAATTGGGTTTTTAATGAATATAAGATTAACATGAAATTAATGCCAGAGACGGAGGTGAATTCAATGCCTTTAGAGCCAGTGCGGAAGTTTAAACTCTGAATTACGACAAATTTGAAACTTGCTGTTCTAATGAGTTTTGATGTTTCGAATGTACTTGTTAATGAAGTGCATTGGTGATTTAGATACGTTGAATGTTATTTGAATTATCTGCAATTTTTATAAATATTGTTTTTAATCTTAAGTTCTCAAGTTTGGTTTCAATTTCAAACTAATAAAATGCAACAACATTTGACAAAAAACGTCAAATTGCGCTAAAATTTGTATTTTGAGACAAAACATTTTGTTAGTTGGAAGTGCTTGGATAATGCCAATAAGAATGTAAGAAGGTAACAATTGATATTTGTAGTAACTGGATTGAGTCCCGCAAGCAAATACTTGGTAGAAGTTTCCATTGAAGAAGAAGACACCGCGATGATTCTTCCGTGTCTCAACAAAAATTTCATCATCAACACTGCACTGGCAAAAGGTTTTGTTACAATTTTCTATTTTTCCAATGGGTTTGTTTGAGTGAGTTGTTTGAATGATCAGTTGAATGAAAGATACGAATACAGCGGCGTTGATAGATATGACATGCATTCGCACTCCGCAGAGTTGTGTGTGAGAGTTACGTTGTTGCGGTCGGTTCTTATGTGATTGGAGATGAACGAAGCATTTGCTGCCTTGCCATGTTTATTAAAATATGAAAATCTAATCTTGTCCATTAAGTTGTGGCAGTTTCGTACATATACGTCACATGTTTTCAAGCGTTCTATCATTTTCATTTTGCCCTACTGCAGATGCCAGTATGATGGAGCCCTTGATGTTCAGTGTGGCCCAACAGGGAGATGGCAGGACTTACTTGACTATTTTGTCAGACCTGGGACAAATGACGTCACACTTTGATGAAGTTGTAAGTTATTTTCATGCGATTTCAATTGCTTCCATTCTTCACGGCTTAAATAAAAACAAATCTTCAACCAACAAATTCATTCATCCATACTCTAACCAAACATCTCCGCTGATCTGTGTTAATTTCAAACTAAGAAGCACAAACTTAATAGATTAAACTTATTTTCAAAACTTCAAACTTTCGTGTTTGATTATATTTTATTGTATAACATCATTCAAATCGTTTGAAAACCTTTTTGAAAAAAATAATTTTGATTTTTTATTAAATTTTTATACTAGCAGGTTTTATCACATTAACTTCGTAATTATAATTGCAAAAACATGAGAGTGCCTTGTCTTCAGAGTAAATTGAAGTGGCCGCCTTTAAACAACTTTTAGGGTGTCACAATAATATAAACTGAAAGAAAACCACATTACATTCCGTTTGTTGCATTTGTGAACATTGTTCAAAAATGTCCTTGATAAATGTTGTATATGTAAAAAACAATTCAATCAAAAGTCGAACTATTCGCCACCTTTTGTCTTAGCATTCAGTGAAAGTTCACTTGCCGCATCGCGTTATGTTTATTATATAGGTACATCATGGATATTTCATTAAGTTATTTTCAGTTTCAAGTATTTTTTAATCACAAAATTTCATTTTCAGCTTACTGGCTCACCAAATAAGTATTATAATTTGATCTCTGATTACAATAGTGTATAAGATCATATGTTGCCTTATGCTATGATGGTTGTACTAAAACTCAATTGCTCAGGGCTTCATTGCTTTTTGACATATAGTTAACTAATTAATTAATTAATTAATTAATTAATGTATTATTCAGGAAATCAAGATCTACTATTTTGTTATATCCACTGCGCAACTAAAGACATTTTACGAGGTTGTTGATCTCAGCCACAACAATGATAACAAGCATGACAACGTGTCACTGCGGTTGGATGTGGTTCCAAAGTGTGAGATGGTTTGCTACAGGATGAGACTCGTGTGGCCTTTCAGAAACAAACTGTCCAAGGTTCTTTGCTATAATGCCCCCGACGGTTCGTTTTGATGTTCTGACACACTGATTGAATTCACCATGTTATCAAATGATAATTAAAAGAATGTTTAAGATTTTATCTTCGTATAAGCTCGTCATACATGCTCCTCAAATAAAACTTCACCATCTTCCTGCCTTTGCTGAATAAAATTATTTTTAATTTTAAAAATTTGAAAAAAATTTACTTAACTTTTACTTTATGCCATTTCATAATAACATAAACTTTAAATTCCTAATAATAATAACTATGATAGTGATGATGATGACGATGACAATGAAGCAAAAACTGGATTGTAATAAAATTCATGTGCTAATTCAAACACCTTAGTTAATGTTGAAATTTTGTTAGATGAAGTTTTGTGCCTGTTGCAATGGCTGATTGCCATTTTATTTTCTGATTAGTGTGTCTAAACGTTTTGCGGTCGCAGTCAATTAATGTTTTGCATGTCGTTGAACCATTTGAATTCAAATGGTTCAACAAATTGTTTTCTTCCTTGACAGACTCGGATCCATTGAGTCCACCGAAGCACGTGCGAGTTCTGACGAGCAAGTTGAACCCCGACAGAACATTCGTCACCGTCAGCATTGCCTGGAAACCACCCTGCATGCCATCACCCATGGTTCGTTCCATTTTTAAATATCTACTGCTGGTGCTTGCTGACACTGTTTCGTTCGTTGAATTTTGTTTTGTTTTTGTTTTTTGTTTTTCGTTTATTTTTGTTTATTTTTGTTTTTTTTGTTCTTTTTTGTCGATTTTGTTTTTAAAAAGATAAAAATCTTCATTGATTATACAACGTTGTTATCATTTGTATTATTCACTTTTTCTTATTCATAACAATTTTTTTCACATTTGATCACTTCTTCTGCAGAACTATCTGATAATGGTTGACGAGATGGAAGTGGATACATCTCAACTGATGCACGTGAACTTCTCCTCTGGAATTGCTTACAGAGATGATAAAGGTCTTTCTGAGTTGAACTTTGAACTCGGCGGCTTGAAACGAGGGTCCACTTACGGAATTAGCGTTAGAAGGGACAAGCCGGTTGGCAGGTTGTCCGAGAGAGTTACTTATTTGGCGGGTTAGTGAATGCCTGGCTCCCTTATATTAGTTGGCTCTTCTTCAGCCTCGTATTTAATTAATTTATTTTGCGACAACGTGTTTGATATTGTTTCTAATATTTATGTTGACACTAGTTTTTTTAATAATTGTTTGTCAAATGCTCAATCAGAGAAGCGATAAAACTAATTTCCAACGATAGTATTAATCCATCGCAGTAATCCGTCAACGCATGGAACGGTGCCGTTTTTATTTAAAACTGACAACTTTGAGACTATTCAGAACTATTTTTTTAAACATTTCAACACTAGAAAGAGATATAAAATATAGTTGAGCAACCACTGACAGATCCCTACCCAGCCCCACTGAACCTCTCCTGCGAACAGATTGACAGCGAGGAAGTCTTCTTCATCCTCCGCTGGAACGAACCCATCCACGACCTTCCAAACTCATATGTCGGTATTTCCTTGGTTTGTTCGGTTGTGTCTTTTTATCAATTGTCTGTTGTGTTTATGTTGTGTATTGTTGTACAAAATATGCTGAATTTTGTGGATCATTTAAAAAAAGTATTCTAATTGCTCCTTCATTTAGCTGTGTTTCTTTATGTGCTTGATTGAAAATTATCGAAGTGATAAATTTTGTTATTATAGCTTAGATCAGTGCTTACCAACTTTTCTTGCGTCCCGCCCACCAAATCCGGTCTTAAAATGTTCACGTCATTACTATAGAGTGACCATTTGTTTGTCATTTTACTACTACTTTTTTCTAATCATTTCACTGCAATTTGCCTTATTCACGAAACCATTTTACCAATCATTTATTTTCCTTATATTCCACCCAGTGTTTTCTATCATTTTTTCGCTGTTTCTACCAACTATTTTCACCTTCACCCCAACCTGTAAAGCCCCAATGCCCCCGTCGAGAATTTGAATTGTTCCCTGGAAACATCGGTTTAGATGAATTCAGAAAATATTAGTTGGATTATTAGAAGTATCATTCAGTTGTCACCATCTTAACGTTCTGACACCACATAGATGTACGAGATCTTCTACTCTCCAACGTACAGACTCCTCGGCGATCTGAGCATCTTCACACTGATGGCTACCACGTCGAAAACATTTCACACAATTAAAAAGGAAAATATGAAACTGGACAACTCTTTTAAAGTTTGTCTCGTTGTTGTGATTTTTAAATGGATGTGTTTGCAATGACATTTCAATGTCGCTATAGGTTTTTCGTTTATATTACAAACTTTTAGAATTGAATTTTTCTTCACAACAAGGTGCGAATAACAACAGCAGATCTCCAGCACAAAAGCAACTTTTCAGAAATTGTGACCGTTCACGTTCAGGGCAATTCAAATGGTTTCATTTTATTTATTTCATTTTATATTTTTAGTTTATTATTGTGTTTTTATCATTAACTGTCTCTATAGAATTTTAGAAATTTAAATGGATTCAACCTTGGTTAATAAAATGAAAATACATCTCCGCTTGTTCCAAATAAACAAACTTTGATTGCAGTTTGTTTTTTATTAATGGTTAACTGTTTTCAATAATGTTTGCTATCTTAAGAAGAAACAATGTGGTGTGCTTTTTCTCGCAACTAATGCACAACATCAGGCAGTGTTCTCCGGGCTGACCGGCTGACATACAGTTCTTATCATTCTCATAATAACGATAATAATTTAATAATAATAATTTTTGACCAATTCATTTCATTGTGAACATAATTTTATTGTTTATTATCTATCGCCTTTTACCATACCACGTTTTTTGTTAGGACAACTGATGCAGATGCCAAGTAATAATAATTCAACATTAACCGAACATCATCATTCTTGTTATTGAAGGTCCGAAGTCATCCAGCTCAACATCATCCAGTAGAAGCAACCTGGCTTTCTACATCAGCATCCCTCTGGTCGCCATCACCCTCCTCCTGCTCACCTCACTCATCATCTACGCATGCAAGTACAAGAGGCTGAGGAACTCGTTCAATCAGTTCACCAGGAGCAGATACAATTCGGAAACAAACACTGCCATCCTCAGTGATCTGGGTAAATGTTTCTCACTGCATTTTTCAATTAGCGCACTGAACCAGTTTGCAATAGTTATTTTTATCAAATTTACATTGCCTAAAATGATTTTTCTCGTTGCGTGTGTTCCTCTATAGTTCATATGCAATTTAAGGAAATTATATTGTGAATGTGAGAGCAAGGCGATAAACGTATTGCGAATTATTGTTGTGGAGTTTTATAATATATAAAACGAGTTGTTGTGTTGTAAGTAGTTTGGAAAAACTTTGAATGAACGTTACGTTGGTAAAAAAATAAGGATTGTTGTCACGAAAAATCGTATTAAACGTTTTTGAGGAAAAACAAGCTATGTTGATTTTATCATATCATGTTGCATGATTGGGTTTAAACGAACTTCATTGTTTATCAAATGAAATATGAATAGAGAAATACCAAGACACACACACATACATACACTAAAATATAGACACATAACAACATTTGAATGAATTATTTTCACAAACATTGATAAACCGACAAAACCGACAGAAGACGATCAGCCACTGATCAGTAACTTCCCCGACGATGAAGTGCTCATCGATGCTTGATCGACCGGTCCACCTCCGCGCACAACTCCCTCCAACTTTCCATTTTGTGTGCCTGTTTGAAATTTTTTTCAAATGAAAAATTTTACATAATAACTATTTAATTATGAACAATTAACAAATTAGTAATTTAATTATATATGTAAGCATGTATTTTGTGACCTGGCTGGCGGTGTTTGTTAAAGAAGGTTCATACATAGATGGATCTAAGCAACGTTAACGGGTGTCCAAAATTTTGAAATTTGACGAGGAGAGCCAAAAACTACCAGCATTTTTGGGGTGCATGCAGCCAAAATTAGGCAGGCAATTTGGTAAATTTTCTGCTTAAAACGGTATTTTGTGTGTGAAAATTTAAAAATTAAGAAATTAAGATTTACTGAGCTTAATAAAAATACTGCAATGGTTCCTCTTAATCCCTAACTGCGCTCATATGAAAATATATCCCAAGAACCTAATCGAATAAAATGTCGATTGTAAATATTGCTGTAAAATTTTGGTAATTAACGAAAATGTGGACATGTTGATGTATTTGCAGGAACGTTCGATTGATGGTATGTTGAGGTTGGGTAGCTGTGTTGAAACATTGATTTGCCATTTTCACGAGACATCTGGTTGTCAAATTTATTTTATATTATTTCCAAGTCATCGCGGTGATAGACTAAATTGTGTCTTAAAAGATTTTTAAATAATTATTCAGATTGTTTTACAGTTTATATCCCAATTAGCTATAAAAAAATTTCATGAATTTTATATATTTTTCAACCGATATTTTTCAGTTCATATTTTGAATTGTGTTTATTTTAAGCTTCATTGGGCAAATCAACTTTCAATTCCCGACGATATTTTTATTTAGCAACCATCTGTTAGAAACGATTGCGAACTCACCGTGTTTTTAAAAACATCAGCCTACATAGCCATGGGTTATTAATTTGTTGCTCTCTTGAAATATCAGCCACAACAATCGGTTAAGTTTCAGTGATTTGGCCTTCAAAATAATCTCAATTTTTAATTTTTTCAACTATTTTTATTCTGGTTATTTAACTTCACTCATATTTTTGACATTTGTTTTTATTTTTTACTAATTTAACATAATCTGCATTTGAAAAATATGGATTTTTATTGTTATTAATATACGAATTACATTTTGTTGATGTGTATAAACTGTCAAATATTAAAGTTAATTTAACAAACGTTTTTTAATAAAAACTAATTATCTTGCTTACAATGCGCTTATTTTTATTAGAACTGAACTGAACTCAGGTAGTTCAGTTCTCAAGTAGTCGGTCATATGACTGGCAGGGTATGAAGTTTGTTACGGTATGTTTGTATTGGTTATTTTCACCACTATATATATTTATATATTTCCCCACTATATATATAATTATGCATATATATATATGTATATATATATATATATATATATACATATATATATATATACATATATATATATATATATATATATATATATATATATATGGTTGAAAGGAGACCATAATTGATGCAACAATATTTGATAAAATCTACCAAATTTTTAACTTGTGAAAGTTTACGATTCCAAATTTTTAACTTGTGAAAGTTTACGATTGAGCTTTTTAATATTTCTAGCAGTAATTTTATAATTATTATCCATATTATTGAAATTAATAAGTCAACATGAACACCAATGATTTTCTTATTAATTTCAATAAATTGGAAAATAATTCATAAATATAAATATTTCCGGTTTTTGAATTATATATATATATATATATATATATATATATATATATATATATATATATTGGAGATTCAGACTATCAGATATACAGCTGTTTAGGAGTCACATCATTTTCAGCGTTGCTTAGTTTTCTATTAAATTTTTCAATCTTTCTTACGATGAATTTTAGTTGATTATTTAATTATTTATTTAATATTTATTTAACTCATACACAAAATTAGTGTGCATGTTTTAAACAGAAAAACTTTTTTCGGAAATTCATATTTCCATTATCAATGTTAGTTTTCGCGTTGTTTATGTCCTTATATTAGTTATTGTTACTTTGTTCCTATGTTAATAAAGTTTTTACGAGTACTTTGTATATTGTGTGAATTAAAGTTTTTTTATTTTTTATGAGTTCTTTGTAACTCATTGTGTGACGTCTCGGTAAAGTTGATTTCTAATTTATAATATGGTAGAACCCTAGTGGCCTTTTGTTGAATATTTATAATGGGATGTCTATGTTCAATCAAAAGGGTTTTTGCATTTCGTAGTTTTTGCTTGTTATCATTGTAACGTAGAACTTCAATATTGTTATCTAAGATGTCTTTAGTGTGTTTTGTTTTTCTTTCAGGTGGCTTTTGATTGCGCCATATTAAACATGCATAGTAAGTCTTCTTGATAGCTTGGTGTCAATGACTACTACATATTCAGATTGGATTTCACACAAAGAAATACAAAGAACTCGTAAAAACTTTAACGTAGGAACAAAGTAACAATAACTTATACATGGTCATCATGGTCATAAACTACTCGAAAATTAACATTGATAATGGAAATATGAGTTTCCGAAAAAAGCTTTTCTGTTTTAAACATGCACATTAATTTTGTATGTATGTACTTATGTATTTTTGTTTGTATATATATATGTATATATATATATATATATATATATATATATATATATATATATATATATATATATATATACATACAAAGAACTCGTAAAAACTTTATTAACATAGGAACAAAGTAACAATGACTTATACAAGGACATAAACTACACGAAAATTAACATTAATAATGTAATATATATAATATATATATATATATATATATATATGTTGGTAGTAGACCATAATTTTTACAATATTCTATAAATTCTACCGATTGTTTGGCGTTAATATGTTTATATAAAATCGAAAAAACGAACTACAAACATATTAACACCAAACATTCGTTAGAATTTATAGAATATATATATATATATATATATATATAAGATATATATATATATATATATATATATATATATATATATATATATCTCTGTCTTTTAAGGTAGGCATATGGCACGTAATATGTGATTATGTATAGAGCAAGAGCCCGACACATCAATCTTCTCGTTAAGTCGATAAGAGCGAATAAATTTTTATGGCTGGTAAAGTTGGAATGGGGTCTTCTCGCAGACATGAGTGGCAACAAAAAATGATTGAATGTTCGTGGGGGGCCCATAACCACTGATGCAGCACAACCGCATGGCACGCCATAAGTTAAACACTTCTCGGCCAGACAATGCACTTATCTGTTTATTTAACTAATTGATCAAATAGTTAATTAACCAACTGATCTAAACTGCTCAATGGCAAAAGTTTGTACTTTGCATACATTATTTCGGCATGTTAGATATATTTTATAGATATATATGTTATTATATTTTGCCAGGTTAGATGCCTACGTAATTAATATTTTACTTCATAGATTATATTGAAAAAATTAAAATTATATTCCTATGGAACATTCAAATTAAAAAAGGATTTGATGAGACGAAATCGTTGCAGGGTCAAGCAATTATAAAAATAAAAGTAGCTATTGGTCGGAATAAATAGTAATCATGAAAATTCCAAAATTAATTTTAAGAAGGTCGATAAATTTATAACTAAGCGTCTGAAATATTAAAAAAAAACTGTTAATTTGCTTAATATCGGGCTTGATAGGCCTCAAACCGCGTAACCATGCGGTAATAATGGGAACAATAACAAATAATAAATTTATTACGCATGCTATTATTTCTATATTTTGTGACGACTTTGTTTACCCCTTATAAGCCTAATATATTTCATTAGCGTGCTTTGGTGTGTAGCATGTTCGAGAACAGAGAGTTCGTGTGTGTATATGTATGCATGTATGTGTGTATGCATGCATGTATGTGTGTATGCATGCATGTATGTGTGTATGCATGCATGTATGTTAAAACCAAATCATTGACGAATGACGCCAAAAGCCAAGCGTCTGACTAAATTTGATTTTATTTGCTATAACGTCACTCAACCCCGTCGGCATTCAACTCCACATTTTCCAACACACAGACGCGCAAAAACCGATGCAGAATGCACGAGATATTATTCATAGCAAAAAAATATTTCCTACTATCGCCTGGCCTAATACTGATATTTTTACAAATCCGATTGAAAAACCCGGAGGTGTTACGGTTCATGGGGCCGAGGACCTCGATACAAATCGGTAAAAACTCCATCGAGGGGAGAGCTCCGTCGTACTTTTTGATCTTCTCGTCAGATGCCCTGGTTGCAGCCAAACCGCTTTCTTTGCTAGTAAGCTGCACGTAGCGCTCAGCAAAGGTGCCCGGAACGGTAACGTCCCACGCCAAGCACCTGCCGGCTCTCCAAGGGATCAAGGTACACCCGTCAGGGCGCTTACCGTCGTGCGTCGCAATGCCCGACGGTTCCTTTAAAACCGGAATTGAGGCCTTGGAGAAAAGTCGGCACACAAAATCGTTTATGGCTGAATGTCGCTGCTGGCGACCTCCGCCCAAACGACAAACAAGACCATGATG